CTACTTCTTAGTTGTTCTAAGGATACAGGGTTGGGACCCAAGTACTTTTGCTTTCAGCGTATTTCGATATCTTATTCCTCTTTTAAGGACTTTGTGGCTTGTACATGGAGTAGCTATCCCACGATGGGTGGGATGCATAGCCTTATGGTAAAACCATAACTCCTCAAGGTTGACCTTAAAGTGTGGAATAAAGAGGTTTTTGGTGATATCTTTCATGCAATTAGACAGGCAACAGAAGAAGTTGTTCATGCTAAAAAGAGTTTGAAGCCCCTTTTTGTAGTAATACTAGGGAACTTTGTCACACAAAGCAAACAAACCTGCTTCTAAACCCTAAAAATGAAGAGGCTTTTTGGAAGCAACAAGACAGGCTTTTTGGAAGCAACAAGACATACAGGATTAGTTGGCTTTATAATAGCTAGGGGTGCTAACACCTAATACTTTCATTCATTTATTAAGTATAACACTAGAAGGGAGTCTATCCATGCCATTAAGATTAGGGATGACCAATGGTGTTATGATAAAGATTGTATTAGTAGGGAGGCAGATAGGCAGTGAGTTTCTTCTCAGAGCATTACACTAAAGACAATGGTTCAAAGGAAGAGATCCTCCGGAACATCACTTATTTGCTAACTAGTGAGGGCAACAAATTGCTCATTCGCTTACCCTTGGATGATGGGATTAGGACAGTAGTTTGGCATCTTTGCCCTACCAGCGCTCCCGGTCCGTACGGTTTTGATGGGTATTTCTATAGATGTTGCCGGGATACTATTAATGAGGATGTGATTTTGGCAGTTCAAAAGTTCTTTCTAGGCTTTCCTTTGGCTAAGAGATTGAACAATGTTAACTTAGTTCAGATCCTCAAGAATGTGATGAAATGAACTATGATTGATCCATTTTTAATAGTCCAACATATATAATAATAAATAAAAAACAATGCATATTAACTAAAAAATAGCACCCCCAACGTAACCTTATCTTGTAACACGCCATACATATTTGAAAATTTTCATTGCATGCATCACTTTCCTATTTTGATACGCTTTTCATTTATATAACATAAATTTCCTTTCTTTTTCCCCTTTTAATATTTAATTTTATCTTCTATTCATAAATTTTCATCTTTCTTTCAAACTATTTACACTTTTCTACATTATTTAGAATTTCTATTGTATCACTTAGAATTATAATCTTAACATTTTTCATTAAAAGTAGTCAAACCTCCAATTTATGAATCTTTAACTTGGAAATAATTATGTATAGTTCCACATCTTCTAAAAATTGAGAGTTCACAACGGAAATTAATAAAAATAGAACAAATATAGTTGATATTATTTACAAGTTACGCTCAGTTCTCATTTAAAAGTAACTTGCTCATGCTATATATACATACATATGTGTGTGTGTGTAAGGTTGTAGTAGGTGCGGAGCTATTTTTGGAAAATAATCTTTATAATTGGGACCACCCAAAAATATTCGATAGTTGAAATTATTAACAGCGGATTAACAATAGTTGAGAGTATTATTTTGAATTTTCAAAGTTCAATAGGACAGAGGGGTATAATAAATTAACATTTGAATAATGTATGATGCAATGAATTACTTTGTACATGAAATCATTTAATGTGACAAAGTAAATTAAAGTAAATTTTGAATAATTAAGGGTGAAAGTATGAGTGAGAACTCAAATTGATCACATTACAATAAATCACACATTTTATGACAAAAATTTGTATGACACACAAAAAATTGTCATATTATATTGAGTTTTTTTTTAACCCGGAAGGCAAACCACCAAAATCAGTGGGGTAAACGCCGGGGAACGTTTACCGAGTTTTGTCAATATAATATTGTCATATTATATTGAGTAATAGTTACAAAACTCAAATTCGTCACCGTAAAATGATTTCTTATGACAATATTATTATTTGTCACTTTTATTATTATATTTTGTCACTAATTGATGTTTACTATGACAATATTATTGTTTGTTACTTTTATTATCATATTTTGTCACTAATTGATGTTTACAATGACAATAAGATATAATTCGTCACTTAAAGTTTGAGCGGCAAAATTTGACGCCAAAAATATGGAGGGAATTTTTTTGATGACATTTTTTTAACATTTAATGACGGCAACATTTTTTTTAACATGCAAAGTCAAAATTATAAACTACCTCCGTCCCAATTTAGTTAGCCATCAATTTTTTTTTAAAGCAGTTAGCCATCAGTTAACTAATACAGAGTATATTTATCTAAAATTTAATAATTTTATACTTTTATATTAATATTTTTGATAAAAACATTTTTATATCATTTTCATACTATCAATATTTATGTATATAAATATATAATCGATCAAAATTGGCTAGACATCATTGAAAAGTTAATTTGATTAAGTGTCTAACTAAAAAGGGAGAGAGGGAGTATGAGATAACACCGTGAGAGAGAATAATGGTGTGTTTGGATCTGATTCAAATAACCTTGGGTGTGATTAAAACTCCATGAGTTTCCCAATCTATGACCTAACTAGTTTTATTCCCAAAATAATATTTATATTACTAATATTTAATTAATTTCGTAATTGATGAATAAATACATAAATTTTATGGACTAATATACCGTTTAGAATATGTCTATAAAACTCTAATCTTCTACTAATTTCCTCCAACCCTAAACTAGTCTTCAATTGCACACCCGCATCCCACGACCGTCAGCCGCCGCCGCACGATCCTCTGCCGCCGCACGATCATCTTCCTCCACCATCTAGCCGCGCGGCTGCGTGCTCGCCGCTCAGGTTTCATGCACGATGGTTTGTGTTTGGAGGTTACCGGCAGCCTCACACATGTGCAGGGATGGCCGGAGAACCATGTGCGTTGCCGCTATCTCAACCTTTGTGCGCTGCCCCCGCCCCAAGCTCTGTGCGCCGTCCTTCATCCCCAACCAGCCGCCGCCTTCAAGGTGCCGCCGTTCGTCCCCAACCAGCCACCGCTATATAACTGCATAGCCGCACTCCAACTTGCCGCCTCCATCTAGACGCATGACTGTGCGTTCGCCTCCATGGGTGAAATAGATCTAGATGAATGCTCCAATTTGCGTCCTCCATCTACCGTAGATGAACAATCCAATTAAAAATATAATTAGGTTTGACTTTTTTGAAATGTGTGCAGACTGGATCCACTACACTTGGATCTGCGGCTAGCTTAATTAGGCTCACCATCTCATTTTTGCTTTTCTGTTTTAAAATTTGGAGTTTTTAAAATTATGATTTCTGGGCATTAAATATGTGCATTGAATATGAGCAATGAACATCATAGTAGATATTATTGAGTATGACAATATATACAGTATGTTGTACATGGCAGTGAATGAATGCATTAAAGAAGTTTATTGTGCAGTGATTATGACCGGTAATGCAGTAACATAGAGAAATAATTTCGCCATGAAAAAAATAATTAATTTTGACGGAAGTACATTGATTATTACCGGCCGTGCAGTAAAGCCGTGCATTAATGTTGTGTGCATTAACGGTAATATAAAATGCAGTAATTTTAATTGGACAAAATTAATTCAAAATGCACATATTTTAAATAAGGGTATTTTCGTCATTCAACCTTTAACAGTAAATGATTTTTTTTAGTCATACAAAAGTCTTAAAACTAGTTAGGTCATAGATTGAGAAACTCATTGAGTTTTAGTCATATCCTAGGAAATTTCCCATCTTAAAACGGTTTCTGCTTCTTGAGGGAGCAGAAGCAGAAGTTGAAGTGTTTGGGTGGGAGTGCAGAAGTACTTATGGTGCTCTAATTTACTCCTAGAATCAGTTTTTTTAGAAGTTGGGGGAGACCAACTTCTGAAAATTGGTTCTTATTGTGCTTCTTCTTTAAAAAAGAAGCAAAAAACAGAATGAGTTCCAAACAGGGATGGATTTAGGGGGGGGGGGGGGGGGGGGGGGGCGACCGCCCCCCTTGGACATTCATTTTTTTTTACAATATATGTAATATTTTCATAAAACTTTCATAATTTAATTAGATTCGCCCCCCTTAGCTTTTAATTTTCAAAATTAATATATATAGTCTTACATAATGTAATACTTAATTGGAGATTTAAAAGAAGAAACATCTAAAATAATTTACATAACTTAAACAAATAAACAATAGAGTAACTCGTTATTTAAGATTTAGGATACTTATTATATAAGAATTCCTAGTTTTGTAATGTTTAATTATCTTTATTAGATAACAAGTACTGGATTTCGTAAAACATATATCAAACAATATTAAATACCAGACACACTAATTACACAATTTTTAGATCACGTGAAATGAATCCAAAATATAAATATTTATAGACATTAGATTACATAATTCATTTACTTCTTGCTTTCTAAAAATAATTTATTGCATGGATAATAAACTCTAAATTATTATAGAATTAATAAAAAATATTAAAATATAATATGCACCATATGTATGTGTGTGTATGTGGTGCATATTATTCTAAAAATAACAATCTCATACATACTAGTATACTACTATTGTAATATTAAGAAAACTTTTCATGAGTCATGACTCACGAACACCCTCCTTGGTGGACAAAAATTACAATTCAATAACTGATTCATGAAGTTAAACAATGTAGAAGTTATTAAAAATGTATTGGTTGATGTCTTTGTCATCGTCTAAACTTATAATGTAATAGATTTAAATGTCGTTCGGGATGTGCATGTATTAATGTCATTTTTTGAATAAAAATAGCCGCATAGCCCTACAGTAGCAAAAAAAAATTCGCCCCGCTATACTAGGGAAAAAAAAATTCACCCCGCTACACTAACAAAAAAAAATTCACCCCCTACACTAACGAAAAATTTCGCCCCCCTTGACTCAGAATCCTGGATCCGTCCCTGGTTCCAAACATCCCCTAAATGGATTAAATGTTAATTAATATGTCAATTTATTTATAAATACAAATTACAAAATATTTGTAAGCGGGTGCGCGCAGGCAGCGTGGAATAAAGAAAGTATGAAAATGGGTGACATTGATTTGCCAAGCCAAGCGGCTACGGAAATAAGGAATTTGGTGAAAGAGATGGACAGAGAGAGCGTCATGGAGCTGATGGAATGGCTACAACAAAACCCCGGCGACGTCCTGATTGACGGCGGCTGCGATTCTCTGGTTTGTGCTAATCTCGAAGACCTGGACTCGTACTCGGCTTGTTTTGGGGACCGCCCGCCGATGCATGTGTCTTGTTACATCGAACCGGCGGATGCCGGCATCGGCAGCAGCAGCAAGCTTGTCATCCTTCCATCGCCGCCGCCGGGAACCGGGCCATTCAGCCGGACGGTTATGCTTACGTTGCCAGAGAATGAAGCTTTCGAGCTCATGGAGGATCAATTCATCCAACAGCTTTCCCCTTCCGTAAAGATGCATGCATGCAATTAATTAATTAAGAACATTAATTTATTATTACTACGTACTATTGGACTTTCACTTGTGCGTGCATGCGTTCACCCAAAAACTATGTGTTACATTTTATGTTCTTAAATTTAAATTGTTTTTTTTTTTTTTTTTTTTTTTTGCATAACCGTGTCTTATTTATTTCGATAGAAAGAAATACAAGAGTAGGAGGGCCAAACCAAGCCTACTCAAAATCAAAGTACATATGGATAACTAATTGCATCAAACTTAAGAATGCCAACAAAGTGATTAAAGTGATGAACATTGGTTTTAGTCGAAGTATTCCGATAAGCTAAATACTCAGCAGCCCTATTAATTTTTGGGTGAGTGTGTTGTATTGTCCAGTTGCAGCCCTTTAGCTTGTATTTGATGTCGTGGATTCGAGACCAATACTTCCAGTGGTGGAGTGACAGACCCGTGATGCCCTCGTAGACTTCCCTATTATCTATCTCCAAAACAACATTGTTCAAGTGAGAGTTCTTAAAGAACTGGATAAAATAAAGAATGGCATCATATAAAGCAAAGGTAATATGAGTTTTATTTGACAGGTGGGTTGCATGACCAAAATAATTTCCCTTCTCATCCCGGATAAGTGCAGCCGTCCGGTTAAGGGTAGGGGTAAGGATGCGAGCTGCAATATTAATCTTGAGGTAGGTCGGGGGCGGTTTGGTCCAATAACTAATAGTGGGTTGGGCCATCTTTTTAGGAAAAATGGTGTGGATATTAAAAGGGACATTTGGGCCATGAGCAATAAGAGGATTGGCAACAGACATGACAAAAATATCATTTTTAATAGCTTTAATTGCCTCAGAAAAATTGGCCTTTTTGTCATCATAGAGATAGTTATTTCGGATCTTCCAAAGTTGCCAGGTAATAATATTTGGAACAATGTAGTTCAAATCCTTTATATGGCTTTTATAACCTTTGTACCATTTAGTAATGTAGTTACTAAAGGTGGTACGTTTGAAGGACGGAAAGTTCAAAACCGTTTCAAAATGCTGCCAGATGCTACTGCTGAAATTACAGTCAAGGAAAAAATGGTCAATGGAGTCTTCATTAAGACACAAAGGACATTTAAAAGGACCAAATATTCCAAATTGGGTCAATTTATCCTCAAAAGGCAGCAAATTGTTAGTTAAACGCCACAGGAAAAAGGAAATTTTTTTAGGAATTCGGTTGTTCCAGATGTACTTAGCCAAAGGTAGCAAAGTCTTTTTAGGCCTAATAACATCATAGGCACTAGAAAAACTGAAATTGCCATCGGAGCAAGGTTGCCAAATATAGTTGTCCTCTTGGTCAGTGAAACGGATATTCATAGCATGGATATTATCAATAACATATCTAGGCAAACAATTACGGACTTGGGGATTAAGGGTCTTACCAGACATAGCATATTTAATAGTAATGTTACCTAGAGCCGTAGGTATGTCCTCCTGGTATTGGTAAAGAGGACCTATATCACACCAGTTATCATACCAAAAGGAGCTGTTACCCTTTTGAACCTGGATACGACAGTTGGCACTGAAAATGTGCTCAACGGAATTGAGAGCATTGAACATAACAGAGCGAGAAAGATCAGAGAGAGAGTTGGCCCAAGATGCCCACAAACCTGTACCATTCTTAACCTTCCACCACAATTTAAGAAAGAAAGCACTTTGGATATGATTAAGATTTCTGAAGCCCAGTCCGTTTTCGGTTACTGGATGGCAACATTTATCCCAACTGCGCCATATATGTTTCTTCTGGTCGTCTTTCCTGTCCCACAGAAAGTTAGAACATTTTCTCTCAATATTATAAATAATAGATTTAGGAAAGGGAGAAACTGCCATGTGATAAAGAGGAAGGGAGCTAAGAACATGTTTGATAAGTATCATTCTTCCCCCCACCGTGAGGAGTTTGTGTTTCCAACTTGCAAGTTTATTGTCAATCTTGGCAATAACATGATCAAAATGGGAATTAAGAGTACGGCCAGTGTGAATATTTGTTCCCAAGTAATTAAAAGGAAATTTTCCTTTTTTTATTTTAAAAATACTGTCAATAATATTGCAATTGTAGGGTTTAGCATGCTTAGAGATAAGATAGAAACTCTTATCCTTGCTAATGAGTTGCCCAGAGAAATATTCATAATCCGTTATAACCTTATGAAGAGGCTCCAAAGTTTTTTTTTCAGCATTCGAGAAAACAATCAGGTCGTCGGCGAAGGTTAAATGTGTGATACTAGGCATACCCAGGTAAGTGTTGTAAGTTATGCCCTGCCCTTGAGAGAAAAAGTTGTTGAGTTTTTTTGTGAGAATTTCAGCAACCATGATAAAGATGATGGGGGAGAGGGGGTCCCCCTGTTTAACCCCACGAGAAGGTTTGAAAAAACCAGTAGGGGCACCATTAATCAAAATAGAGAACCAAGTAGCGTTAAGGTTGTTGTTAATGAGATTAACAAAAAGAGGGTGGAAACCAAACTTGGTTAGGACAGATTTTATAAAAGGCCAAGACAGCCTATCAAAGGCTTTAACCATGTCAAATTTGAAAATAACATTGTGGCCTCTTATTTTCTTATTAATGTGCTTGACCAACTCTCTCAAAATCAAGATGCTGTCAGAGATCTCTTTCCCTTTTTGAAAGGCAGTTTGTTCAACGGAAATGATTTTAGGGAGAAGAGGAGTAATGCGAATAGTAATGATCTTAGTAAAAATTTTGTTAATATAATTACTAAGACTTATAGGTCTGAATTTTGAGAACTGATAGGCATTAGGTTCTTTAGGTATGAGGGAAATAAGGGTGTGACCAATGCTTTTGGGTATTGGGACTCCACAAAAAAATTCCTTAACCGCATTTAGAAGGTCATCTTCAATTATGTCATACACATTTTGGTAAAAAAAACCATCAAACCCATCAATACCCGGAGCGCTGTGTTTATCGAGGCTGAAAACTGCAGCCTTTAGCTCAGTTTTGGTAATGGGACTCAAAAGGTTTGCATTATCACCGTCAGTAATGACAGAGTTAATATTCTGCAAATAGGTATTAAGATCCTGGCCATCAACAGTTTCATTAGCAGTAAGGAGATTAGAATAGAAACCAACAGCAGCAATGCCAATATCAGTCATGTTGTCCACCCAAGAACCATCCTCCTTTTTTATTTTGGAAATATTCAATTTTTGGTGTTTGGCTTTAAGGGATAGATGGAAAAATTTTGAGTTTGCATCTCCTTCCTTAAGCCAATGTATTTTAGCCTTTTGCCTATAGAAAGTGTTTATATGGGCAGAAGATTGAATGTACTTAGCCTGAGCTTTTTTCAAAAGGATATGATCCTCATCGAGAAGGGAATCAGAGACCTTAGTTTCTAAAATAGCAATTTCTTTTTCAGCTTCAGTCAAATTTTCAAAAATGTTTCCAAAAACGTTTTTGTTCCATTCTTTAAGAGCAGTTTTCAGTCTTTTGAGTTTAAATGAAAATTTCCACATGCCATATCCCGAACATGGAGTGATCCACGAGGATTTCACAGTATCAGAAAAGGTTTTGTGCTGAGTCCACATGTGCTGAAATCTGAAATTTTTTGGGACAGTATTAGGGGGTTTGTTTTCTTGCAAGAGAAGTGGGTTGTGATCAGAAACACATCTATTGAGTTTTTGCACGGTGAGATTCCAGTTAAGTTGGAGTATCTCATTCGAAATCAAAACCCTATCAAGTTTTTTAAGGACCAGGCCTTTCATCCTATTCCCTATCCAAGTATAAGGGGTCCCTTGAAAATTCAGCTCAGACAGGCTATTATTGAAACAGAAATCATTAAATTCATCCATATCATACTTACAAGGGGTGCTGTTTCCTTTGTATTCATGTAAAGAAGATATGACATTGAAATCACCTCCCAAAATCCAAGGTTTGGGCCCAATGGTAGCTTTAAAATTGGTTAGATCATTCCAAAGGAGTCTTCTGGTAACTCTGTCATTCCCACCATAAATCACAGAAATATATATAGTAGTGTTTATATGATGGGCAGTTAGGGAAAGGTTCAGGCATTGAGAATAATCAGAAATCACACTCACAGTATACAAATCCTTCCAAAGAATCCAGATTTTATTTCGACAGTGAGAAAAAGCATGAGTAAAACCAAAATTCCTCATTTTATTATTAAGATTCTTGTCATTAATCTTTGGTTCAATAAGGGCAAGAAAATTAACATTATTATTTTTGCAAATAAGCTTTAACCTATCCTGAGACTGGGTATTCCCAATCCCACAAACATTCCAGAAGAGGAAACTGATCATTAAGAACTAGAAAGGTGGGCAGATTTCTTGGGCCTTAGAGTATAAGGCTCTCTTAGTTGTTCTTTTTTATTTTTAGAGGAAGCAGTAGGGCTAGGTGAGCCAAAATGTTTGGTTTGTTTGGTTGGTTCCCCATCAGATACAGAGTTTCTGGGGTCCAAATCCTGAACCAAAAAAATTGTTTCATCATCCAAAGGCTGATCTAGGTCATTCAAAATCAGTTTGTTTCCAGGGGAAGCCTGGATACTCTCAGTATCACCAGGGGGCTGATGATTATCATTGGATTCATTTTGAATGGTAGCAGCTATGATCTGAACCTGGCTAAGTAAGTTAGGAGACTGATTTTGATGGTGGGACAGATCTTGAGCTTCAATTGTTTCTGTGATTTCTCCCGATTCCAAATTGGTTTCTCCAGCATCAGTAGTTTGAGGTTGGACCTCATCAATATGCTGTAAAGCATCCTCAAATTGCTCAGCAATAGGTTCACTTTCCTTCTCTTTTATTACACCAGAAGAAGCCTGACCTGTTTCAAAAGACATAGGGGATTTTCTTTGCCAAAAGGTCAGGGGTTGGTCTGTGTAATTGTTACTGTTTGAGGCCACCTCTTTGTCCTTATCTTTTCTAAGGATAAGGTCAGTTTTAGGGGCATTTGTTTGTCCTTGGTGTGCCTCAGATTGAGTGGGTTTTTTTTTGGAACAACTGGACTCACTGTGTCCAATATGAAAACATTGCTTGCAATAAAAAGGAAGCTGTTCTTCAAGAAGAATATATTGCCAAAACCCCTCATACCCATCATCTTCAAGCCA